ATCATGTTTGGCACAGGGACCTAAGGTGTAGCCATATTAGATGGTTCCAGGTGATGCACCAATTACAAGGTAGGGAATGTAAGAGGAATATACTCATTAGTCCCCAGCTGGGAGAAATTGGTGGCAGGAAAAATACAGGAGCGAATTGGCATTTACAGTATTTCACAACAATTTCATTTTACCCAAACAGATTATGTTAAGGAAACCATGGCACCTATTCAAAGGGAAGGCAACTTAAAGATTGCAAACACCCCAATGTGTTTATTCTTTTTTATCCAGCCCTCCCTTCTGAGAACCCATTAAGTCCGCTTGTTTTTCTTTCCCATGTCTCGTGACTAAGTTACATTTGTACCACGTCTGTGGACACAACCCAAGTCTACGCCTTAGCCTCTCTAGCATGGCTGCTAGATCAGAGCTGCTTTTGCTGGTCCTATAGTTAGTTCCCTTGCCCTCTTTTCAAATATTTCCCTCTCGAGGAGGATGAATAAAAAACATTTCTCTTTCTCCCAGAAGACTGTTCTGAAGTCCACTGCTATAGAACCCAGTTCCTTTCAGATAGTTTCACAGCTCAGTCCCCTAATCAGACTAAATTCTCTTCAGAGGAGGAGTCAGTCCTCACCGACGAGAACATCAGAACAATGGCTTGAGGCGGCGGGGCTGGGGGAGCGAGGGCCAGTGTAGCAAATCGCAGGACTTGGCTGAGCCGAATCAAGACCAACAGCATTCTTTCACGAGGGAAAGCACATCAACGTCTAGAAGCGGGAAGCTGTGCCACGGATCGGATTCTTTGCTCACGAAGTCTTTATCTGGTTGTGGTATCCGGGAATGCTGGCTCCGAAAAACCAGTCAGGCCAAATGGAGTCCTCTTCAATTTTCGGGAAGGCTTCCCTGAGCATTAGTGTTACTCCTGTCTGAGATGTTCGACGGGGTTCACTGTGAGATGTTCGATGGGGTTCACTGAATGTGACTTGTGAGAAGGTGTTCAACTACCAAATGAGTATCTTTCAAAGCGTCTTTCTTTCTCCTTGAGTGTCTCTGGCAGCCGGGGTCCTTAGGAACTGCCCTTTACCTGGCACCGTAAGCACCACAGCGAGCGCTCAGGCAACGACTTAAGGAAACGTGTTTGCCAGACTGATGGTTGCCGGAGCCGGGGGTGGGGGGGGGGGGGGGGCCGGGTGCAGCCTAGGGAATGCGGTCAGCGATGCCGTGATAGCTGCATATGGTGGTGCCCAGGGGGGTGTGGACATATGGGGGGGACACACTTCGTAAAGCGTAGGATTGTCTAACCACCATGCTGTGCACCTGAAGCTAATACAAAATAATACTGAATGTAAACTGCAATTAAAAAAAAAAAAAACTCAGCAAGATGCGTTGGCAGTCTTTCTAACAGAGCAGGTGCTTAAAAAAATTATAGTCATTATTGTTATTATCGTCTAAAGAGGAAAAGAACAGTCTCTAAAAAAAAAAAAGCCTCTAGGTTAATTTTGCCCAAAAATCTACACTGTAGAATGACAGGAATTCAAAAGACCCAAAATCTAACCCTCGGAAAGAATAAAAGCATCCACACGGAACCGCAGGGCCTATCCGTTGCACCCCTTCCCTCTCCTTGTAGCTACTACAGTGTCCGAAGCAGCACGCAATCATTTTTTCTACGGCCGGCTCCGCATCCCACGGACGACGGACGCAGAAATGCCGGCGAAGTCCGTGTGCGGCTCCGGGGAGCAGCGGTGACGGGTTCCGTGCCGCCCCATGGCCCCGCCGAGCAGCCGCGGCTGCAAGTCGGCGTCCTGTGTCCTAGCGACACCCTTCCAGGGGCTCCGCCACGGTCAGATAGGCCCTTTGATGGCAGCGGCGGGGCAAGTCACACTGCGTGTCCCGGCCGACCCCGCCCGGCGCCCGCGTCTTTTAGTTCTGGATGGCCCCGCGGCTTTTTCCCCGGGTTCGATCCGATGGAGGCCTTTGAAGAAAAGTCCGAGACTTTGACCCTGGACTGCGTTCTCCTTGGAGCATCAGTCTGCCCACTTCGCAGGTTTTGAAATAGAGGCAAAGGAAAGTTAAGTGATTTGCCAAGGTCAGAAATCGAGGAAGCAGCCCTGGGATTTCAATGGGCCTGCCGACCAGAGCTCATGCAGCATTTTTTTTTTTTTTTAAATTTAACAGTTTAGAGCTATAACTGACAAAATTATAAGATGTTTAAAGTGTACCTCATGGTGATTTGATATACATTGTGCCAGGCTCTTCCTCTCCCCACCCCTACTCTAGTTAATTAACACATCCATCACCTTGCATTTTAATTTTACTTTATTTTATTTTGGCGAGGACACTTAAGTTCTTCTGTCTTAGCAAATTTCAATGATAGAGTACATTGTTTTCAACTATAATCACCATGTTGTACGTTATATCCTTGGACCTTCCATTCCTAGTCAGGGCACAGGCCTGGGTTGCGGGTTCGGTCCCTGGTGGGGTACGTACAAGAGGCAACCGAACGATGTTTCTCTTGCATCGATGTTTCTCTCCCTCTCTCTCCCTCCCTTCCCCTCTCTCTAAAAAACTCAATGAACATGTCCTCAGGTGAGGATAAAAAAATTAAAATAATTTTAGATGTGCATTTATGTCTATACCCTTTTTTGGTATGTGTATTATTTTTCACCAGTAAAAAAATCCCACCTCTGTACACACACACAGGAAATAACAAGGGGGTGTCTCCTTCAGTGAACTGGTCAGGGACGGTCTCTCTGAACTCACAGAGATTATTTTTATAAGCTGACATTTATAAGATTATTTTTATAAGTATAACACGTAAAAATATGTCATAAACTCAACGATATGGAGGGCTATGTCCCACCTCCGGAGGGCTGGCAGTTTGCAAAGAGGTCTCTGAGCATGGCTTTCATGTGCTGTGAGTTCACCTTGGAGAGCAGGCGAGGAGCCCCTAATTTCTCCCTAGCTGAGGTCACCCTTGGAAAGAGCCCTTGAGGTGATAGCTAGGTTTGTTGACAGCATATGAAAAGCACAGGACATTTCACTTGAGATGTAAGCTGCAGCAGGAGCAATGGGTAAGCTCTCGGCTACTTATTCCCCCGTGAATCCTGGACCCAGCTCCCTGGTCGCTTCAATGTCCGTGTTATCTTCTCCAGACCTCAGAATCACAGGAAGGGACCCTCCCGGGACCTGTGGACATTTGGAACAATTCTGAGATTCCCAGGAAATCCTCAGGGGTGGCGAGTCTCAGGGTAGAAAAGGACATACCCAGGTTCCCCAGAGACACTTGCCTATGCTCCTCATTGGATCTGCACATATTGTCAGAAAACTTTGTCTTATCCTTCCAGGGGGTAGAACTTGCCTGGTTTCCACAGGTCCCAGTCACCCAGAGCTGTTCCAGTCAGTCACTTGCATCAGGGAAAAAGGACGAGCTGTTCTGATCTGACCTTCCTTTCAAACCGTGATCCAGAAGAAACTGTTCTTTTTCTGCTGGGTCACTGGCGTATGTCTCACGGGTACGAGGAGAACCTAGGCGCCCAAGGCTATTGGTGCCTCGCAGGAACAGTGGCCAAGGGTCTTCACCTTGCTGACTCACCTCCTCACATGGGGGATCTATCTGAGCGGAGAGCTCCTTCCTCAAGTCCCTGGCCCCACCAGCCTATTCAAAGAGGTCATTTGGAGAAACCGTCTCGATTAGCAATACATTGCAGGACATTTTGCTGTATTTTCCCTGTGGAGAGTAGACATTTCTCTTTAAAAATAATAATAACTAGAAAGCAAATCTCCATGCAAGAAACATCATTTTTATTGTTTTGCCCAACATTGAAGATGCAAAGCAAAACCCTGGCCCACAAGCTAAAGGGCTTCTAATCATGTACATGCAGACATAACTGAACACCGTCCTAGTCACTCTCGGTTGGGCTAAACCTTGGGCTATACTTGCGGTTTGACGGCTCCTGGGGCACCCTGCGCTGGGGGGAGGGGCGTCATGAATAAGGGGGCCGTGCAGACTCAGATGAGGTCTAGAGCCTTTGGCAAAAGGGACTTATTCCTGAAAACTTCTACATCTTGGGTCTGAAATTTATGACCTAAAATTATTTGGGGTGCCCTAAGAGGATAGCAGAGAGGATTAGAGGCGCTGAGAGACAAAACAGAGGGGGACCCAGTTAGAAAATCAGGAATTATGAGCTACTAAGGCTGAGAGTATGAATGGAGGAGAGTTTAGCAGAAAAGTCAGTCAGTAGAACGGGTTCAAACCTAAGCAAGGGCTCCAGGTGGGCCAGTAAAGCTGAGAGAGGGAAGTTTCCTCTTGAGGGGAAGTGGTGTAATGGTATCATAGGAGCGTAGTTAAGGGAGGAGACAGCCTGGCAGGCACAGAGAGAGAGCCTTTCCCCTTTCTCGTGGGCTGCTATCAGCGAGAGAATTAAATATGGAGGAAAGCAGCTTCCTCCTGCGGTCTCATCTGCTACCCCAGGGTTCGCTTCATCCCAGGATGACCAACTGACATGGCAAACTACCCTCCCGTGGGACACCTCTGTCAGCGTCTCTGAGTCTCCCCGCCCCCCATCCCAACCATCTCCCCCTTTCCCCAGAGGTGGACTTTTTTAAGGCTCTGTGCTCAGGCTTCCTTCGCCCTTCCTGCACCCCAGTTATTTGCACTCATATATTCTCTCTGTGTTCACGGGCACCTTGGTGAGGTGACTCCCTATCCTGCCTGCCCAGCCCTGACAGTCTCTCGCGCTCTCCCACCGTGAGGTATGATGGAAAGACATGACATCACAAATCCTGAGAGGTAGGACTGGAACAAATCAGGTCCAGGATTCACCTAGCCAGCCCCTCTCCCCGCATTGGCCAAAAAGAGAAATGACAGAGACACTGTTTTCCCTGGGAGCAGGGGAGCCTTTGAAGGACTTCCACAGTGTCCCCGCCCCCAGCGTCCCTGGGGAAGCCCAACCAGCAGAGGTATAAATAGGCACCTTGCAGCTTCCTCCCCTAACCCACTGCTTTCTCCCTCCCAAATGGACAAGTCCTTCCTGCTGGGTCTCCCCACCCTGCTCTGCTGCTTTAGAGGTGGGTGGCTGCGGTTGACAGCTGGAGGGACGTGTGAAGGGCCCGGAATGGGTGGGGGTTCCCAAGGCACGGGGCCTCCCCCAGGAGCCCTGTGGGGACAGAAGCTGTCATCCTAATGCCGTGCCTTCCACCACAGTGTCCCTGGGAGCTCCACCCAAGCTGCCATCCTCGCTTTAAGGAGAACGTTGGTGGATTGTAGGAATTGAGAGGATTTTCACAGAAGCTGGGGGCGGGGTGGTTGTTAAAATGAGGTCTGAAGACACTGTATCTTTCCCCTTCCCCGCAGTACTCTCTGGGTCATTTTTAGACAGAGAATATTCACAGTGAGTAGAAATGGATCAGTGGTGTGGGAGGGGGGAGGTTAGAGGGCAGAGAGGGGTGGGCCGGGGGGGGCGGGGCGGGGGAGGTGAGGGGCAGGGCAGACATTGGGGATTGAAGGGAACCCAGAGATAGACCCTGAAGTTCATCACTCAGCAACCTCTTCCAACAGGATGGGGCCAGGCTGGGAGCTGATGTTAAGTGTGACAATGTAACAGGAGCAGCAGCTGACCAGGCTTAGGGCGAGTGAATCGAGGCAAGAGAAAGGGCGAGCAAAAGGGGAAATGTTGCCTGTACAGATACTAGCTGGCCAAATCTAAAGTGTAACTAAGGAATTTCCCACGCACCTCCCCGCCTTGTCAGCTTTCAGACGTGCGTTGGTAAGAAAGCCACATGGGGTCAATTAGAAAGAGGATGAGGTTTAACAAGTGTGTTTATCTTTCTCCTTCTGGTCTGTGCTGCTCCCTATAAGAACCGGTAGGGGAGGCTGAGAGGCCAAGAAGAGGTGAAGAGGATTAAAAGGAGGGCAGCGGGGTAGCTGTGCCACGGGATAGGTGATGGGGTTTGGAGGGACAGAAGCGGCCTGGCGTGGCTCCAGCTAAGAACACAGTGTGGGCCCCCACTTTCCGAGGATTTAAAGGGCCTCATGCCGGGGTAAATCTCAGGCAAAACCGCAGATTTGTTTTATGTATTATTTCTCTTTGCCAGTGCAACCCACTACCTTAGTCTGAACAAAAATATTCTTCCTGGTGAGTATGAAGGGGACCTCATCTGATCATCTCAGTCTTGATTTTGTTCCTCTTTTCCTTTCTTTCCCCTCCCATTTCTTTGAGGCTAAAACTTGTGTCAAGCACAAACCCCAGTCCCTCTCTTTGCTTAGGCTGTTTTATTATTTAAAAAATATATACTTTATTTATTTTTAGAGAGAGGGGAAGGGAGGGAGAAAGAAGGCGAGAGAAACATCGATCAGTTGCTTCTCACATGCCCCCCACTGAGAGCCAGTATATGCCCTGACTGGGGCTTGAACCCAGGATCCTGTGGTTCGCAGGCTGACGCTCAATCCACTGAGCCATGCCAGCCAGGGAGGCTTCACCTGTTATAACAGAGGCAGGTGCCATTGCTGAATGGACCTCTGGCAAAGCCACCCAGGCTCCAAGCAGAATCCCAGCCTGAAAGTGGAGATAGGTCCTTTCATGGCCCCTGACATCTGCTCTCACTTCCATTCCCCTACTGTCTGGTCCGAATTATAGAAATTATCCAGTGCAGGATGTGCCACCTCGAGTTTCCAGGAGACCAGTGCTTCAAAGGCAGAGGGATATGCACTGCAGTGGGAGAAGAGGCTTGCATAACTGGGAAGATTTTCAAAAGTAAGTAGTAGGTTGGGGGAAGAACAAAGGGGTCAAAGAAACAGACAGGGACCTGCCAGCTAGACTAAGAAGGGGATGTCACACGCCACTCCAGCAGTCTCTCCTGGAGGGGCTGGGGTCCCTCCTCCCATCGTAGGCCAGAATGACAGCAGATGAGGGTGGTCACTAAAGGGCGGTCTATAGCTGGACAACTGGGACTCTGAGGAACTGGGAGGAAACAGAGGGGAGGAAACAGAGGAGAGGAAACTGGCCAGAGAACAACTGGGCGTGGGAGCAGGGAGGGCAGCTTCTCCTCTCTGTCCCGGACAGGAATTCCTTGCCGGTGGTTTTCAACCTTTGAAATAAAGGGGCGGGAGTGGGGGGTGGGGCAGCAATGGTGTGCCACGGGATAGGTGATGGGGTTTGGAGGGACAGAAGCGGCCTGGCGTGGCTCCAGCTAAGAACACAGTGTGGGCCCCCACTTTCCGAGGATTAAAAGGGCCCCATGCCGGGGTAAATCTCAGGCAAAACCTGAGATTTATGGTTCTGGGTGAGTGAGACAAAACATCGCGATTTTTCTATGCTCCTACCCACTATGCTCAGAGACGCTTTGGCATTTATAACCCTTACTTAAACCAGCGCTGAGTCTCAATGGAAACACCCAGTTCTGGCAATTCCAGAACTGCTGCTGGCAGGGTCTCCCCGCCCCCAATCATTTCTTCCAACTGCCTCTCCCCCCGCTCACTGCCTTTCATTCAGGAAGCTCCCAGCTTGTAACACCACCCACTTCTTCACGTACGAATCCCAGAGCCTTCAATGACACAAGGTGACTTTTATATACAGGGTCTGGCACAGATGAAGCCCCTTTTTTATTACAAAATCTCTTCTGACAAAATCATAAGCAGGTAATTCCATAACATAGCAATAGCACACTCAAGCACACCACGTGACATTGTAGGTGAAATGTTGAAATTAAAACTATAAATGATGACACCCATATCATTACCCTACCGGCCACACGCGGGCGTTACTTCTGCCGGACTGTGTCTGTGCCGACGCCGGCTGGAGAGACGTTCTGTGGCAGCCCTGCTTCCCCTCCCGCCTGCAGATGACGGGAGGCTCTGGTTAATCTTCAGGGGCTGCCTGAAGAACTGTGCTAATGTGGACCACATAAGATGGAGCATCTACCTGGTGAACTTCAGGTGCTGCAGAAGCCACGACCTGTGTAATGAATCGCTAGGCATCACTAGCCCGTCCGAGGCTCCAAACTCTATGTGACAGGGTTGCCGTGGGCTCTCCATCATGATTTCCTAAATAAACACATTTCAAATCAGGAGCCTGTCCTCACCAACACTTGTCATTTTCTGTGTTTGCGGCAGTAGCCACCTTAGTCGGGGTGAACAGGTATCTCATTGTGGTTTTTATGTGATGTTGAACCATTTGCATATCTTCTTTGGAGAAATACCTCCTCAAGTCCTTCTGTCCATTTAAAATCAGCTGGCTGTTCTTGTTGTCACTAGTGTTGTTGGAGTTCTTTATATACCCTGAGTATTTCCCCTTATCAGTTATATGATTTCTCATTCTATGAGTAGTCTTTTCATTTTGTTGATTCTATCTTTCAGTAAACAGAAATTTTTAATTTTGATGTAACCCAGTTTATCTATACTTTTGATGTTAGAGCCAAGGCATCATTGTCAGATCCAGTGTCATGAAGTTTTTCCCTTGTTTCTTTTCAGAGTTTTAGAGTTTTATGTCTTATGTTTAAGTCTTTCATCTATATTGGGTTGGCTTTTTTTCTTCTTATTTATTTATTTTTTTTTAAATGAAATTTATTGGCACAACATTGGTGGATAACATGACATAACTTTCAGGTGTGCAAGGTTGTAATTCGCCTTCAGGGCACGCTGGCGTGCGTTCCCACCTGAAGCCGGTTCCCTTCTGCCTCTATGTATTTGACCTTCTTTATCCACTTTACCCTCTCCCCGCTGCCTGTCCCCTCCAGTAACCACCACTCTGTCTGTATCTTTGCATTTGTTTTTGTTTGTTTTGTTAGTTTGTTACTTTTTGGTCCACATATGAGTAAAATCGTAAGGTTTTTGTCCTTCTCTGTTTCACGTAGCATGAATACTGTCAAGATCCATCCATGTTTTTGCAAAGGGCAACATTTCATCTGGTTGTGGCTGAGTAGTCCTTCGTTGTGTGTACGTACCATGTCTTCTTCGTCCAATCTGTCAGTGGACACGTAATTTGTTTCTATGTCTTGGATGTTGTAAATAATGTTGCAGTGTACCTAGGGATACACATATTCTCGAGAATAATTGCTTTCAGATTTTTCTGGTAAATAAAGGATTATTGGCCTGGAAGACTATTCTGGACCTGAGTCTAGAACAAGTGTACTTGCTCAGGGTCTGGCCCCCTTTATGGTTCCCTCTGCTTCTCATTTGCATCGATATAAATATATGTTTGCTAAACGTGAGGAACAGGCATGTACTTCAGTGGGACCAAGAGAGTCAGGTGGTGACGGGTATTGTAACAGAGGGCAATACGGGGATCAGAATCTCCTGGAGACCTAAGATAGGACACATAACAGGATGGGCTCAGGAAGATTGGACCTGGAGGCCGGTGTGGATATGATAAAATCTGGGGGCTTGGCCTCAGTGGTTTCCACACTTCAAGCTTAGCTACAAATATGTGTCCATCAGACTCCATCTGCCTGTATGGCTCTCTGGCTCTCTGTTCTTCTTCCTGCTACCGGTTGCCTCCTTGCCATGTACATTGTGTCTGTTTTCTAATTTGAAGCTTCCTCGTAGTGTTTAATTTTGACCTGCTTGAGGCACTCACCGTACATCACAGTAAGTCTTCTGTGAATGATTTCATTATTGGAACCCAGGCTGCCAGTATCGCCAGTCTGCCCGCGTGAACTAATTAACCAACCTTGGATGGGAGACTCTTACTGCATGTTCTATCTCAGGATGCTGAAGCCGTTAAAGTATTTTCAGGATGCTAAAGTATAGTATAATATACACCCTAAGAGTATACAATTTGGGGGGAAATACTAGCATACGTATTATGCAAATGTTTTAAAATTAATCTGTATATTCAAGCATTTTATTCTGTTTGTTAAAATACAGCATGGTAGAAACTAGGAAGCAATCATAAGCCTGGATATCCACAGGGACACTACTAAAACAGAGGATAATATTCTACAGCAAAAGTGAAGCAATGGTTCACGTAGATTCTAACCCACAGAGAGTTTACCATGGAAAAAGAAAATTAAACCTAACGTAGGTGAATACTAATTTAGGGATTAATTTTGATCATTTCATGGCCTAATAGTGTTGTTAGGAAAATGGTAGTGAAGTTCTGACACCGATCTCTCTTTGGCATCATCTATCGCAGGGCTGTGTAATAGATCAAAAACACGCAGCCTCCTATCAATGCACTGGATGAAAGATAATATTTAAATTTTTTGAGGACTGGGGGAGTGGAGACCTACAGCGAGCCAGGAGACCAAGTGGTTGGCCAACGCTCAGCCAAGTGCCCCTCCTGATACACCATATTTTGCCATTTATAATGCGCAACCATGTTTTGTGTGTGTTATACATGGAATTATATAACCATGGTGTGTAATTATTATACCCATGTATAAAGCGCATCCTTATTTTTCCCTCAAAAATTTGGGCGAAAATTGCACATTATACATGGCAAAATATGGTACTTGGCTTTGGCTATGAGAACAAGATGAACAGAAACATGGTCACTGGGGGGAATGTGGTCAGGAGTAGCTGTGGTTGGAACAGTTTCCTAAAACAGTGGCAGGCACCGAGCCTCTCACGTTCAGTGCGTTGACTGTTGCTTTCACGGAAGTTAGCATTTCTAATCCCGCATTGACTTTCTGAAGTCCCTGTTCGCTCAGCCCCGCCCTAGCCCGCACCAAATACCTCCTCCTCTACCGTCCTCTCAGATAGTCCTAACATCTCCTCTGGTTTCATGTCCCAGTTTCTATCCAGCCTGCTTTCTCCTGATCTTCCCTCAGAAGCTGTGCCAGAAGAAAACACTTCGTTCCCCTGGCCAGAAATTTCAGCACTCTGACCTCAGCCCAGGTATAGCCTCAGAGCTTAGGGGCCAGAAAAGATCGCCAGGAGGTGCCAGGTGGTAAAGACAGCGGGGTCCAGCCAGAAAGCAGACAGGGGGTGTTAGTGGCCTATGGGTTTACTCTTTCCTGTGAGTGGAAGCGCTGACACAGGAGAGAGGGTGCTTCCGTGGGTGGATCCGCTGGCTTAGAGCAGAGAGTGGGGTCTGGGTGCTTAGAAAATGGGAGAGGATGTTGCCATCGGGTAGGGGAAGGGCAAGGTGACTGAGAGATGGGATTTAGGAGGCTCAGGTTCAGAGTAACTGTCAGGTTTTTCTTGGTGGGTGAACAGCGAGGGTGTTCGCTGAGCTCTGTTACTAGGCCTGAGTGTGACTGGGTCCATCGCTACATTTCTGGTGGCCACCGCCTGGGGGAACATCCAGGGAGCACATAGAGATCCCGGGAAGTTCAAGTTAAATGTCTAGAGACTTTCCCTTGTGTCTCCTCTTCATTTCTATAGTCTCCAACTCTTGGAGATTTGCTGGTAACCCACAGGAGTCCTTCTGGATGTTCTACCCCCTGGGAGTAGGTAGCGTGTTTTAGGCTGTGGGGGAGGGAAGACAAGGGCATTTGGTGGAAAAGGTTGAGGGGCAGCTTCCATGGAGGGTCAGGGTTCTTGGGAGACAGTCTGTCCTCCCCCCAAGTCTAAGTCAAGCAAAAGTCTTCAAGTGTTACTGCGCTGTGACGGGAACTTATCAATTATTTTCTGAAGACCCCAGATTACTTGAACTCCCATAATAACTTCTACTAGTTGGGAAGTCAAAAACTTCCTCCTTCGTATTGCAGTTAGCAAGGAGGACCAGGAACTCCACAAAGGGAAATAGAGAGCTTCCCTCTCTGGGGGAGGGAAGAGAAGGCAGTGCCCCTGATCAGGAAGTCTCCAGATACCGCTCCTAAACCGCCATCAAAATTTCTATGCCTTGGCTGCTTCTGCCTCGCCTTTCCTGCCCTCTCTTCCTGGTAGTGCCTTTGTTTTCTCATCCAGCGACATCCTTTTTCACACTAATCTTGATTGGAGGATCAACAGATCTGGATAAGAATAGTTCTTTTATCTCTACATTGTGGCCAGGTGTGAAGGCTCCTATGTTTATCCTAGATTACTTGGCTTCTGTCTCCATTTGCACAGAGGCTATTTAAGATCACAAACATCTTATCATTTAGACAAGCTACTTACATGAACGTGAAGCTGGAACTTCTTGGGAGGTTTTCAATGCATCGGGTAAAGGAAAGACATAGAGGCCATATACAGTTTGACAAAGTTTATGTATCTATGTTACCAGACTGAAGGGGCTCATTTGTTTGCATACATCAAAGCCCAGTAAGATGTGAACAGGAGTTGTCAGGACAAATTCCCCCAAATCCCAACCCAGAGGACAAGGATAAGGTATGGTCCCAGAATTCTCCGTATTAGCTTGGGATTATTTTGACCCAAGTCTTTGCATTGCCATACAGGAGATAATAAGGAAAAAAAATTAAACCCTACCCTATTCATGGCATCACCAGCAAAAGGAAGCCAACCCCTGCCCGATGTGAGCAACAAGATTTGCAAAAATTCAGTCTGATCCATAGTCAATGAGACTCAGCTACCCGTCACTACTTCTGCTTCTGATTGCTCTTCTTTCAACTACCAGCTGGCTTCCTCTCTCTCTCCCGTTGTTAGGAGAGGGGTGCAAAATGCAGGGGTGGAGGAAGAAAGAAACAGGATGCTGAGCTGGAGAATGAACGACCCAGCATCCAGGAGAGAGGCGGACTAGGTTCCGTTGGGGAGGTTGCAATAGTTGCTATGTTTGCAACAGATTAGCTCTGTCCTCTTGTCAAAACCCAAGAAGTTGACGTCCTCACAGTTGGTCATACATGACAGTTTTGAATAAAAGTACAGACTCCGCCCTGAGGAGGGAAAAGAGAGGGAACACAACTGCGATGACTGTCTCTTATGACCATGTGCCCGGGAGCCACCTCTTTCAGAGCCTCGCTAATTTTTTTCTAGGTCCTAAGGAGCCACAAAGCTGAGTCTCCTAACTCCTGACCCAGAGAATGGGCTTTGTTCCCTAACCAGTTAGGCACATCAACCTCCCCTTCGCTCACCATTACCTTAAGGAAAAGGGCACCTTTGCCACCCCTTCGGGAGGGCCACCCCGTCCTTACCCAGCTCACCCCCACTCTCTGAGGGCAGAAGAACGGCCTGTCCCTAAGGGAAGGAGGGGGCGTGTCCCAGGCACTCGGTACCCCACATTACCTTTTCTTGAAAGGATGTAAATGTTCTCAGTAGCGCAGGACTGTTGGTACTGCAGGTTGCAGGACGTCATGCCATCATAGCAAAATCCAAGATGATAGTTTTTACATTTATAACAGAATGCCGTCGGCTCTGCCGGACGCAGAGAGAGGCGCCTCACGAATGTGTTCTGGGGAAGTTTCTATACCAGGTACCTATCCCGTGGAAGCCAAACGCTGTTTCACAAGCTAGTGTATCTACGCTACCACGCTGAAGGCCGCGGGCTTCTCTACAGCAGCTCCCTCTTGCCTAGTGGCTTCTAATCTTTCTCCTTTGATAATCTTGTGAAAGACAACATGTACAGACATAAATTAAATGTTGTTATGATTTCAAAAGGTCGGAGTTCCTGTGAAATTTATCTATGGACCCCCACGTCATTAGCCCCTTGTCTAGCCAAAATCTAGATGATTTTTGGTCAGTTGTCAGGGAAAGGAAGTAACAAAAGGGATTTTAGCTTCCTTACTGCAAGAAATGGACTACATGGGTCTGGGAGAAGATGAAACTCCTAGGATTCTGCAGGAAGGATGTATGACAGCCCCTTCCGAGGTTGGAGGGGAGGTTTCCCAAGGACTTGAGACTAGGCATGGCCTTACCTGTCAGATGGCTCTGAAGTTCCCCTGTGAAAAAAAGAACAGTCGTTCTTCTCATAATCTCACAGATATCGGCCAAAGCCTCAAAGCCAATTTTGGAAATTTCTCTTCCTCCCTCATCTTCCCTTCTCTTAACCAACAGCCAGTGCGTCCTCTGTCTCCGGGACTTACCGTTACCTGTCTGGACCAGAGAGGCTATGCCCAGCAAAAACAGAACGAACATCCTGGGACCTGGGACGTGTGCAGTTTCCTAAGGAAGGTGCTGGTCGATCTCCTCCAGTGACCTGTCCTTGGGCTATTCATCTACACTCTAGAATCATAAAATTCCGGGACAGACAGTCCCTCAATATCCCCAGACCCAAACCACCCACAGGAATCTCACTGCCTCTGAGGCATCTCCATTTAAAAGTCTCGTCAACGATGAGCCAGTATGTCCGTCTGGTCACTGCTGCGTAGCTAAGCATTGCGCTCTGCAAGTAAAGTCAACTTTCTCTTTCACATCTGAACCTTTCAGATAGATCAAGACAGGGTTAGGACACCTGAGTCCCTTTTAGCTCTTTTCACTACCCTAGTCACTCTCTTCAGAGTCATCTCAGATTTTCCGTCGTCTCACCTAGACGGAGGCACAGGGGTGCAGGGGGAGCCTGGACGTGGCGGAAGCACTGGTTGGCCCGTGTGGCAAAGGGAAGGCAGGTTCAGGAAAAAGCCGAGCAGGGCAGAGATGGGTCTGGTTCGCCTTCGGGAGATTGATTGTGTAATTAAAATAATTACGAAACACAGACCAAATGCCAATGTCACAGGAAGAGAAGATAAGCAAACCAGGACACAAACTGGTGGTTTCATAGAGGTCAGAGCCCAGTTTCGAGGCCACAGCTGTCCGTGAGGGCTGAGAGGAGGGACGTGCCAGTTTGACTGTTTACCCAGGGGAGGCTTCCCTGCAAAGGGGGTCTTTTGTTTTTTATCCTCACCTGAGGACATTTTTATTTTTACTGCTTTTGGAGAGAGGGGAAGGGAGAGGGAGAAAGAAAGAGGAGAGGGAGAAGGAGAGGGAGAAGGAGGGAGAGGGAGAAGTGGGGACGGAGAGAGAGAGAAACATCAATTGGTTGGTTTTGTTCTTTCCTTTCCTGCCCTTCCGCATTCAGAGGCGTGAGCGGTTAGATGTGAGCTCCAGGTGACTTCCTTGGCCCCTACCATCAGGTACCACCCATCAGATTTTTTTAAAAGATCCCTATCTCTCCCTCCAGGCTCTCTATACACTCTGGGAAACCATCACTGCCCCCGGGGAACCCGGGGAACAAAGCAGCCTGATCCTGACTTGATGCCAAGGTCCATGCCCGCAAGACAAAAGACAGCATTTAGAAGCTCAAGGTAAGAGGTTGCTCATCTGTGGTATCACCAAGATCTCAGTCACCCACCCCGGAGCCGAGAGACACCAGGTTCACAAGGACCCAATGTTCTGCGTTCATCTCTGCTGAGCAGCAGCCCTCGTGGCTCGGGAGCACATTAACATGTGTGCTGTTCCCCACAGGCCCTGCGTCTGTGGGGTCGTAGAGAGCGATGCCTTCACTCACGTCTTCATTCAGTCGTCACGTGTTCAGCCCATCACTGTGTGCTAAGCAGAGTGCGAGGGGAGCATAACGGAACTTGATTTACATGATTTACATCATAGGCCTACAGGATGTCAAAGTTGTAAGTGATCATGAAAATGGTCGGACTCTCACATCACAGATACATGGCTTGGCAAGGACACCATGAGTTGTATAGTAATCAACCACAGGTCTCTGGGCTCTCAGGAAAATGCTGTTTCTAGTATACCACACTGGCTCTATGAGTAGGCTCCAATGCCCATTCTCTCTTACTCCGTGCTAAATGAAGAAAGAAATTGTCTTTACAAGAAACTCTGATGGAGGAGTTGCTATGGGAGAATGAGGAGCAGGTCAGAGGACCCCAACATTTGGGTGGAGTTACAGAATTCCTTGATCCTAACTGGAAATAATCCCGTAGAAGAGAGATTCAAAACTCAATGGGCCCTTCAGAAAGCACCTGCCACAAGGATCCGTGAAGAAAGAAGAATAGAAATTGTGCAAACCCATTGCAGTTTCACCTGCAATGTCTGCTTCTTTGGCTATGATTCTAGAGTCACTGTCTTTAAACAGCCAAAGCAGAGATAATGCTGGTAATCTTGTAAACCCAAGCACCCAAGGTTCAAGGGTTTATCTCCTTGGTAAGTCTTTGGGAAGTCCTGGAAAATTCCATGCAGTTTGTAACATCCTCACTGGAAAGGGGGCAGAGTACAGAAGAGGTTTCACAGTCTTGCTCTCCAAGGCTAGAATCAATTCGCTTCAGAACCAGTCCCCTCACGTCTAAGGCTTTTTGGCTCTCTTCCTAGGCAAGGAAGTTTGTCAACTTTGGGGCCTTTGAGCTAAGACCTTATTTCACATATTCTATGCCTGATGCCTCAAAAGGTCAGGCTTGATATGTTTTACAGAAGGTTTGTTCCTACAGCTAAAGAGCATGTCATTGAATCAGTTCAGCATGGAAGGGTCTTGGGGTCTCTAGCCTAAGTCCCGCCAGCTTACTGGCAGGCATCGGAGGGTTAGAATCAGGGCTGCTCATAGCTCCCCAGTGTCTTAGCCAGAGGGCGAACCTTAACTCAGTTCACGTTTGTAGAGGTAGATCACCAACATCATGGACAAAGCCGGCCAGATCCACAACATACATTTGCTAAAGGTCACATGGTGTGCTAACTCTAGAGGGGATTTCTCAGCCCTACAGATTTAACAGTCCCTGGTCTTGGAAGCTGGATTTCTGGTAAAGTGAAAGAGGTCTGGGCTGAGAATCAGAAGTCCTAGGTCACAGACCCCGACTGGCCATAGATTATACATCTTTCCATCTCTTTCACTCTCCTGTTACTCACCCGTAAGGTAAGGAGCTAGGTGAGCTCATCCGAGTTATCATTGCTCTTCTCTCATACAGAGACCTGTGTCTGGCACGGGAAGTGCTTGGTGAATATTTGTTGAATATATGAATTAATCCAAGACGCACAGAATTGAGGTGGCTAAAATACAGCCTCTTGGGTTAGAAACTCTTTCTCTGAGCAATAGCACCATCGGTCATTAGATGTGTGTCTTGGGTAAGATACTAAACCTCCCAAAGACCCAGCTTCTTCCTGTGGGAAATAGCAACAAGAATTACAAAATCATAGTTATAATACGAATAATAATTACTACGATGAAAAACAAAGTTGGCTTAGTGTAAACTCCAGCCTTTATTTATTAATTCTCATTATTCTCTGCTGCGGGTGGAGAGCAATGAATTGAGCCCCCAGGGGAGCTTTGTGTGATTGGTTTGTTCTCTTACGCATGAATAACCCCTGCCCAGCTGCGGAGAAGGTCACCTCCCGGCTGGAGACCCGAGCTTGCAGCCCCTGGCTTCTTTCCTCCCTGGGCAAGGAACTTCTGCGTTGGGATGGACAAACACGTCCTGTTGGTCTTCTTTCTCTTTTGCTGCTTTGAGGGTGAGTCACAGAGCTGAGGAGGGGCCTCCAGAGGCGAGATTTAGGGAGTCCCAGGAAACTCCACCTGTGTAACAGGCACCCATGCAGGGCTGAGCCTTGACTACATTTGTAAGGGAGGGGAAACTAGGCTTCAAAATGCTCCCTTTGCCTTCCTGGCCAGCTTTCTGCCCTTTCCCACATTGTGCCAACACTCCTCGGCAGGGACCAAGCCCCTCCAGCCGCCCCTTTACTGCCTCCCCCACTCTTTCCCTACCGTTCCCCATAATCTGAGCTCCTACCAAGGTTTTCCTTGGGACACGCTTTCCAGCACTAAGTCTGTACGCATATCTCAGGGGAGCTGGTCAGTCTCTAAGAAATAATTTTGCTGGACAATGGCCTTTAATACCCTTGTCAGGGACTTTATATTCAAATTCCAATGAGTGATTTTTAGGTGAGCAAATATTGGATGGTCTGGAATCAATCAGATTAAAAAACAACACGGTACAGTCACTGTCTTAAATTCTCTGTACTTTGGTTTCTCATCTGAAAATTGGGGAAATACAAGGCTTTTGTGAGAATTCAATCAGCTACAGATTGAGAGAACATGGCCCAAGTGAGATGCTCAATAAATGCTACTGTCTTTTCACATGCAGGTGCACTGAGAAAGAGGTGTTTAAAAAAATTAAACCTGTATCTTGGTGAGTTCACCCCACAGTATCATGTAGCGTCACGGATTATACTATAATTCACGAGATCTTCACGAAGGTTCAGTTTAAATTTCAAAATAACAGAGTGTATCACCTAACAATGTCTAGGCAGCAAAGGTCCGAAAGCCCATCCTAGGAACGCTAGCCTGGGCAAACAGCTTGGAAGCACTCACCCGCGGTACCACACTCCTGTCTGTCCACAGCGCTACCGAATTGGCCAGGTCAGCATTGGTGAAGCCATGTTTGCACAGAAAAAACCAAGGCCACGAAGGCTAGGTCTTTGCTCAGTTACCCAGGTTGAATGGCTTAAGTTGGGACCCGAATCCTTTTCTTCTCCTGACTGTTTCTCTGGGCTGTGGAGTTGAGCGCTTCCACTGTTCACTCCCTGACACCCCACCACCGGCTCTTCCTCCACTGCCCCCCACCTCCACGCCACCCACCCTCTGCCCCAGACCTGTATATACCCAGCCCCCGGGAGCCCCTGCACCCCCTGACCTCACGCCAGCTCTGCACTATCCAGCAGTGACAGCGCTCAAGTGCATAACCTGCTACCTTCACCTGATGTCAGATCGCTGTAGAAGAGGTTTCGGTGTTTGTGTCGCCCAGGAGCAAGAGGAATGCATGACCTTAAAGGTCTACGACTACAGTACGTTGGAGGGCCGGGTGAGGGGTGCTGGGAGATCCTCGGAAAAATTTTAGGAGAGTACGTCAGCAATTTTATAGCTCAGACGAAGGTCCGCCCAGGAGAGGAACCAAGGTGCGAACTGCGCCTGGCGTGGGTCCCAGTGCACGCAGACAGGAGGGGCTTTGGGAAAACGAGACAGGAGGAAAGACGGTGGGGATTCTCTACTCCCACTAAAGCTGACCCACCCGACCGCAGCTCTGCAGACGCGGAAGCACTAGCTGCTGGCCTTCCGACAGGAAAGGGAATGAAGCCGCCCTGCAGGGAGCTGAGGGCTGTCAGGGGGCCTCAGGCAAACAGCCGCTGCGGGGGCCAGGGGCTTCTGCCCCGCCTGCCTGGGGCCTGCGGAGCAAGTCTGAGCTGGGACGCCATCCTGAAACGGGTTACATTTTCACTGACGGGCTAGTAACAGGTTTGGCTTGTCCTTAGAGAACTGAGGTCACAGGTTTATTTCTACGGTTCCTTCTTATTACAGATTGGAATTACGAGTTATCCTATATGGTGTGTCAGAAGTTCTGCAGCGACCTGACATTACATCGCCACGGTCGGGTTTTTATCTACAAATGCTGCAACCAGGATTATTGTAACTTCAGATTGTAAGATATTTGCCATCCCGAGGGCTCACCGTAGAACGTTGCTGATGTTGCTCCTTCACACCGTGCCTGCCCCTGTTCCCTGCCCAGTCCAGCCTGGAAGTAGCTTAGCTCTCTTGTGAATTCCTTCCTGGTGCCCCCAGCTTGGTTCCTGTCTCGGTCAGAAGATGATGATTCTCAACTGCAGGTTCCCGTTACAGGAGCCGGCATGTCCACACCCCAAGAACGCGGCACCGAGAGGCCCAGCAGAGCACCATTTAAAACAAGACCATTCTAGAACCTTGTGATTTGCTTAGATAGTTGATTGAGGTAAACTAGAACTCCCTCAGCTGAAAATTCGCACATATTTATTTTTATGTAAAACATTTATTTATCATTACTCTCGTGAAGCAGAAGTAGCAACAAATTGAATAGTGGACACTCAAGATTCTCTGCTATGGACACAAAACTATTTTCCCCAGTGGACAGTGTCCATTTCAGATTCAGTCATGATTTTCTCAGCATTTACAAAGTATATCCATACACAGTGTTAGTCAGAAACAGAAAGTAAGGGATTTCCTGCTTCTTTAATATTCATGCTTACGCATGGCTGTGGAGAGCAGGGCCGATAAAATGGCATTGGTCCAATCAAGAGAGCATAAAGTATATAAAACAAGGTGGAGTCACTTATGTCAACTAAAATGGCTGTCAGTCAGCCATGATACTTTGGTTCAAGAGGGAAACTGCTTAAGTCATGGTAGACACATCTGGCAAGGAGACACACCTAAGATATCTGCACACGCGGTCAGAGTAGCTGTGTCTGCAGAGTGGGACCGGTCACAGATGTTCTTGGGGAAATTCCACACTTGCCAGCAGGGGTGCCAAACAGAGCAGCTGTGTACCACCCACAAGCCCCTGGGCAAACTCCATCCCTGGCATCAGGGGTGCCAAGACTTTTATTGAAGGGACCCAGAAGGCTAGAGTCTACCACTTTTGAGGTGTACTTGATGCAGTTTCCAGGCTGCTGCTGAGACAGCCGAGCTCCATGCACTAGAGCCCTGCTCCACGCCACCCTTATCTCCCTTGGTATCGGCCACCGGAGGCTCTGCCCTGCTGGACTGAGGACTTCACCCGCTCTGCTGCCTACCTGGCTCCAGAGATCCTTCTGTGCAAGATGCCGATAGCCCCCTTTCCCGCTGTGCTGTCTCCTGGACCTGCAGACTGAGACTCTGGGACTTGGCTTTGTCACCCCCCATGGATTGCTCTGTGTGTGTGTGTGTGTGTGTGTGTGTGTGTGTGTGTGTGTGTTATATTTCTCTTAGATTGTTAGAGTGTGAGTAGGATGTTAATGCATGTTGATGTTCTACGCCGAGTGAAGCTGCATTCAATGAAAGCTGAGTGAGTAGGATAGTGACTGTGTGTGACTCTTGTCTGTTCCTTGGGGCCAGGCTGCCCTGCATGATTTGTACATTATCTTTTTATCGGCTAACAGAGTAATTGGTCAACATTCAGTCAAGTAAGTGTCCATCCTGATAGATTTGGCTTTGGCTGTGAGAGCAAGATGACATTATCAGAAACACGGTGATCATGCATATGTAGACAGCAGTAGGTGTGAATAAAATAGTTTCTCAAACTAGTGGCAGGCACCGAGCCTCTCACGTTCAGTGCGTTGACTGTTGCTTTCACGGAAGTTAGCATTTCTAATCCCGCATTGACTTTCTGAAGTCCCTGTTCGCTCAGCCCCTCCCTAGCCCGCACCAAATACCTCCTCCTCTACCGTCCTCTCAAATAGTCCTAACATCTCCTCTGGTTTCATGTCCCAGTTTCTATCCAGCCTGCTTTCTCCTGATCTTCCCTCAGAAGCTCTGCCAGAAGAAAACACTTTGTTCCCCTGGCCAGAAATTTCAGAACTCTGACCTCAACCCAGGTATAGCCTCAGAGCTTAGGGGTCAGAAAAGATCGCCAGGAGGTGCCAGGTGGTAAAGACAGCGGGGTCCAGCCAGAAAGCAGACAGGGGGTGTTAGTGGCCTATGGGTTTACTCTTTCCTGTGAGTGGAAGCGCTGACACAGGAGAGAGGGTGCTTCCGTGGGTGGATCCGCTGGCTTAGAGCAGAGAGTGGGATCTGGGTGCTTAGAAAATGGGAGAGGATTTTGCCGTCGGGTGGGGAAGGGCAAGGTGACTGAGAGACATGGTTTGAAAATGTACCATATTTTACCATGTATAATGCACACCAACGTTTTTGGCCCAAACTTCCAGGAAAAAAAACTTTCATTTTAATTCATTTATTTATTTATTTATATTGAGAAAAAAACAGATCATTGCATTCCCAGGTATTATTTCGCATGTGGATATTGTTATTGCTTGCTAGAGTTACCCTTTTAACGCATAAGCATAAATAAAAGAATTAAAAACATTTTACCGGTAAACAGATATGGAATTAGTCCTACTCATGCATAATGCACACCTTTATTTTTCCCTCAAAAATTTGGGCAAAAAAGAGTGCATTATACATGGCAAAATGATAATTATTTTATTTTTGGTCAAGTTTCTCTGTTCTTTTCATGTGATACATACGCCTTGAAAGTATATACGGTTTCATCAGGTTCGTTACACCTGTCATTGTGTGTGCAGCAATAGGTTTCTCTCATGAGGTCATGGAATACCTGGAACATTCCCTCTTCACATGGTTCACAAGATAGTTTCGAATAACGATACAGATGCAGCCCTAAAGAGAAGAAAAGCAAGTGTGATCACCTTGCTTCAGCTCACCATTTCTAGCAATGACTTCTCTCCAGAACCTTATCGGTTTTCTGTAGCCTGGTCCAAGGCTCTGCCTGCACCTCACCCCTGTGTCTTCAGACAGGTGCAGGCACAAGGCACCTGCCTCCCACACTCCCACACAGTCTCCATCCCAAGACTGGGCGTGGAGAGCCCCAGTTTCCCCGCTCCCTCCCAGGGTCCCAGTCTCCATCCCCACCTTGACTCCATGAACTGGGGGCACCATCGGTAATGTTTCGTGTCTCTCGCTCACCCTCACGCACCTGTGAGGCGATGAGTGTAGTAAAAGTTGTCTGTGCGACAGCTCCTGTTTTCCACCATCATGTTGACCTTCCAGCAACTCATCATGGGTCTGGTGCAATGGTAGCCATCATAGTAATCACATTTGTTGCAAAATCGAATCACTGAAGAAAGACAGCGAAGCTTCAGACTCTCCCCCTCCTGGAAACCTTGCTATCGAGGTGACGCAAACCTCACAAAAAGGAGTCGACAGCCTCCCCATCACCTGCCGGGGGTCCCAACTCCCCTGAGTGGGTAATGGCTACGATCCTTCCCGGGGTCAGAACAGCCCCCCACCCGAGGCTGGGGGCAGAATGAAGACACTAGAGCAGTGAGTGAGGAGAGTGGAGTGGCGTGAGGGAGGGCAGAGAGACAGTGTGCGAAGAACTCAAGAACGTCCCCTCTCGTTGTAGCCTTATTTATCCAAGAAGGGCAAACCATACATTTTGTGGTCAGGACTCTGTCTCCTGTGAAGAGAAGAAGAAAAACTCTCCGTGAAGCATTTCACAGCAGCCCCCAGAGTCAAGTTTAGAAACTCCCCCTTCCTCCCCACTCATTCTCTGCCAGCCCTCGCTGCCTCGCGCCCCAGGCCTCACCCTCGTCCATGAAGAGCGCCGTGAATGCGCCCAGCAGGAGCCACTGGAACATCTGGGGGCCCATTGCCGGCAGGTCCCGGCGGGAGGTTCTGGCTTCATTTATGCCCATCCCTTGCCCTCAGGCATCCCGCTAGGATCATAGAATCCTCAGTTTCGGATCAAATCACCTGAATCCTCTCTGAAATGTCCCCAGGAGAAGGTACACACTGTCTGTGTTTGCATTCTTCCACTTATTGGAACTCGGGCACCCAGACGCCACATTAAGTTTTATTAGATCTATCATAAGGTCAAAATTACTGTTGCTGTAGAGTCTCTCTCCCTGAGACCTCTTCACTTCGGTCGTGTGTCTATTTCTTGGTCTGCACAGACCGTGTCTCACTTCACATCCCGGCGATGTCCTTTCTGACATAACAAAGCTGGCATCACCGAGCATCCATGGGTTGCTCAGTCCCTTTCAGGCACGATGACCCCCAGCAGTACCACATCCCTCACAGGGTAGGTCACCAGATCAGAGCCCGATTGTCCAGTGACAGCCTGACTGCCCAGTGGAGCACCATCTCCCAGTATGGGAGCACATCGGGGGAGGGGACGAGGAGGAGGGCCTTTGCTCCCAGTGTCTTCATTTCTTTTTTCAAGGGAGACAAAGACCATAAATCATCACAGTGGAAAAGACACTGAGAGACATGGGAACAAAGAGGAAGAAATATTTGGAGTAGTCACTAGAAAGGGGGTATGGAAAGAAAGGGAGGAGGGCTGGAAATGAGTTTTTTCCATCAGTTTCCTGCCTTTCCTGGAAGCAAGGACTTCTTCCAGGCAATGCTATATATTTGTGCCACATCCATCTTTCAACTAGTAAGTGTTAACCTGCCAGTGACACTTTTCATATGTGCTGGGTCTGGCAGAAGTAACGCCATGGAGTGTGGTTGGTAGGGTCCCTGAATGTCTCGCACGAGATGGACAGGAATTTGAATGTTTTACCTAAAATGTCATACGGTGTGCTCGAGTGTGGTATTGTTATGTTACAGAATTACACACTTATGATTTTGTAATAAAAGATTTTTATGTAATAAAAAAGGGGCATTATTTGTGCTGGACCCTGTATATAATGCAAAACTCTCTTGCCACCCTTTCTGTGTCCCTTTCCTGTTTGATTTTTCTCCAGGGTACTTAACCCAATTTTCCTTCTATAGCTCTTCCTTATAGATGTTTATTTTGTCTCTGTCCTCTCATAACAAGGACAGCTCCGCGAATCAAGAGTTTCACTGGTAGTGTTCACTGCCTTCCCCTCGGCACCTAGAATAACGCCTTGCATGTATCAGATGATCAAAAATATTTGATGAAGAAACGAATGGCACGGTTGGTATGGTCACTCTGAGAGACACAAGGGAAGGGTGCCTCTATACCGACAGCCCTTGATTCCAAGTTTGCAGCATGACATCCCTGGCCTTCAACTTGCAGTTAGTAGTTACTATGAGGAAAACGGGGCAGCGGTGATGCAGATTCCCTGCCTTGGGGACAGAGTGAGTTTGGAGCCATGTACCTGGGTGCGCTCATTCCCAGAGCCAGGCACATGCTACACCCAAGTGAGCCTCCTCACATCTTCTTCACTACGAGTGCGCTCCCTGCACACCTGGGGTAGAAGGCCCAGTGCACTCCCTACCTGCCGTGACTGCAGACAAGTCACTGAACTTTCCTAGGTAAACACAGGGACCATGAGAGGCCTATCCAATATAGTTATCAGGACTCATAAACTCACACACGGGTCATGGCGAAGGGAACGGCCATGAAGACCCTACTTGGCCTCAAACATTCTTGGGCATGTTATGCACTTGTTCTCTTTAAATTCTCTGAACAACCTCATAGGTAGAAAGAATTTGCCTTGTCTTACCGTTGAGGACTAGGGATGCTTACTTAGAGTGAAAATATTTTTCCCCAGGGAGCTTCAGTGGGCCACTATCTATGCCCTACACCTCGCTGTTTCCATCTCTTTACAACCTGGCACAGGGCTCCCAGGCTGGGACTCTGGAGAGACGCTACCCCGAATCATCCACTGACGAAGGGAAGAGAGGGAGAGCGAAGAAGAGAAAGGTCATCTGCATAAAAAAAGTCTCCCTCTGCCTGGTAGAGGCCACATTCATAGACAAGCTCTCACTGAAACTAGGGGGCTCACAGCCTGGCTGACGTGCCACTGTCTGGAAGGAATTCCTAAAGGGACCACCGTTGGGGGACTTGCCTTTGGAGTGTGAGATCCATGCAGCAGTCATGGATGGTGGCCTCAGAGGGTCTGAATCGAGAGCACCAGCTTTTGCCTCCAACAAAGGGCCCTTGTGCCGGGGAAGACCTTGGCCTGGGCAAGCAGTGATGAAGATCTGGGCACGAACCCCTCACTCCATGCAACCCAGGTCCTCCTGTGTTTGTCCTGGCAGCTTTGAACAACATTATTCTCTGAATGAAAGTAACAGAAATTT